AATAATATAAAATAAAAAATATAAGTTCTTAAATATGATGAACATTGATCCTTTTTAGCCCGTTAGCTCCATAAATAAATAATAATATTAAATCTTAAAAAATACTCTGATATTATAGTTAATACTTTATAAAAAATAACGTAAATATAGGAAGTTGTCATTTATTAGAATGATTATAAAAAGAAAAACAAAACAAAAAAGACTTCATATGTAGGTTATCATACGAAAATTTTAATCGAATGGTCATATAAAATAAAGGTCACAAAAAATAAGGTAGAAAATCAATGTTTATTGTTATTTTATTATAATATTCAAATTTTAATTGATAAAGTTATTTTTTTAGACCCTTAAATTATAGTAAAAGAGAAACGATAGCTGAAACAATGGTAATATCACAATGGAAGGATATCACAACGGAAGTTTAGCTTTGCTTTGAATGGCAAATACTCACGTTAGTTTTGATTTAATAAATACATTACACGTCATGTAATTCTATATATTAAGATTTTTACATAGTTCAAATATAAAAAAATATAATAAGTAAAATTTCAGCTAATTTTAACGTCCTAAAAGTTAGAAAAATAATTAAATAACTATTTTGAGTGTAAAATTAAATTTTAAACTAATTTTCTTGATTTCTTTTTATACTTCTTGTATTTGTCGAAGGATATCTAACAATGGAAATGTAGCTTTTCTTTGGATGGAAAATTACTCGCGTTAGGTTTGATAATTAATGTGTTACATGTTGCCAAATATTATGACTTTTTACATATATACTTCAAAAAGGATTAAGAAAAGATATAATAACAAAAATCTTAGGTGATTTTAAAGTCCTAAAAAAATTAGGAGAAATAATGAAATGACTAATTCGTCTAGTATGACATCAAGTTTTAGAGGGTAAAAAAGGCGAACAACATTTCGCTAAGGGCCTTCGTGCTTTTAATATAGTATAGATATAGATTATCGTTTGTCATAATTTTTTGTTTTATATTTTTTTCATATGGTTGACATCTTTTACTCTTTTTGCTCCTCGTTCATTTTTCTTTTATTACAACCTACTATTGTTGCGGCCAAACTCACACGCAAGTATACGCCGTCGTCAAGTAATAAAGTGACTAAAAGTCGGATGTCGATCCCACGAGGACTTGTGATTAACTATATAGACTATCCTAATTATCTAAACAAGAATTAAACCTAGAAGTATTTGATTCTAAACTAATTAAATAATGAAATATAAATAATGAACTTTAAACAGAGGAAGAGCAGATTTTTATGATATCAATGTAATGAAAACGATCTAGGGTTATGGGCTATCTAACATTCCTATTGTATTCTTCAATTGAATTGACTAACTAATTTATCTAGTTTATTGGTTGACGGGGTTAATACTACTCATAAGAATCTGTCGAGTTCTTACTCGCATATTCAAGCTAACCTAACTCCTATATGTCTATGGAATTAGAATCAACAAGAACGCATTTATAATTCCTGTAAATCAACCAAGCAAGGCAATTAGGTATATGTCTATCCTAACCGCGAATCCGTTCCCCGAGGCCCAGGTTCAAGAACTTGCTCTACTCAATCCTATATGCAATCTAGAATTCCCACTTTCGAGTTCAACTCTAGATTCGTAGATAGTATTCAATTGGTGATCAAGCAATCAAATAATTAAGTGCAGGATTGAATAAATAAACCAATATGATAAACTAAGAAATCAAAATCAATATCCGAATAACAATATTCATGAAAGAACCACAACCCTAGAACGTGAAGTTTAGCTCCACATAGACCTGGTAGCAAAACAACAAATCATACAAAGAAACATAAAAAGACTAAGTTGGTGGAAGAAAATATGAAACCCGGCCTCTACGGCGGCTCTGTGCTTGTGTTTTCCCCTCAAAAACGTCCTCCTCCGCCTCCTTAGTTCTAAATTATGTCAAAAGTGTGTCCCCTCCCTCAAAGTGGTGATTTAGGATGTATTTATATGACCTAGGGTTGATGAGGGGCGGAATTCTTCAATCCAACTTCGGATGGGAGAGCTGGAATCCGCGTCTGCCTTCGCGTCTTGACGCGGATCCGCGTCTGCCTTCGCGTCTAGACGCGGACTTTGACGCGGATCCAGCTTTTGAGATTCTTCCATTTCGCGAAGCGCTCCGTGCCTTTGCTTCGCTTCGCTGCTTTGTGCCTTAACTTTTCTCCTTTTTCGCGTCCGACTTCGTGCCACGCACGAGAATAGACGAGCTCCCACTCCTTTAATTTCTTCTTTTTGTGTCGAATTGTCATCTTTTGATCATTTAGCATCCAAACTCGTTCCTACACATAAGAAACACATAATGAGTATATTTCACTTCGAAAATCATGTAATCTCCCGCGACACACACAAAAATTAATATGCAAATATACTAAAAAAATATGCACTTTTCATCATTTATCACCAAACATCACTTCCCCACACTTAAACGTTGCTCGTCCTCGAGTCAACTAACAATTCACACTATCCTTGTGCACTTTGTTTTTACACAATTGAGGCATACTACACCAATGACCATGGTTGATATCAACAATTAAACATTAGCATATGCAATCACATACACTTTCCTTTTTCTTATGCCAACTTCAAAAATATTCAGACAAAGACAACATGCTCATAACAATCCTAGCCTCACAAACCGACTCAACGTCACAATGCACTCATGGCTTGAACACCCAACATCCTAGAGAAGTCTAATAACGTTACCTATCCCTCATGAAGCCATGTGCCCTCACAACCAAGGCAAGAGAGTAAGTTGAATCCACACATTCGAATTTAGGTTTCCAATCATATTCAATCTGCTGGTTGATTATCCCTCTTGGAGTTTGCATTTCAAAACTGTCCGGTAGAGGATGTGAAATATCAGCTTCAACAAGCACTCTTACATATGATACCTTCTCCATATCAGCAGTAATTCTATCTGCGTATAGAGGTTTCCCAACAACACTAGCTAGCTTGATCAATACTTCTATGGACCAAAAACCCAATGGAAGTCCCGGAAATTTGATCCATAAAGGAATAACACTTATACACCCTGGGTCAAACTTGAAATCCATACTCCAATATTGCAGAATCAGAGGTTTGTTATGGTAAGTACACGGTCCAGCTTGTAAAACCAAATCCCTTTCCTCAATGTTTTGGAATCTAAAAATATAGTATCCTTCATCATGATAAAGGATTTGGGGCTTTTCAACAAAATTCCAAACATTAGTAATGTAATTGTCCATTGATTTCTCATAAGGATTATCACCCAAAACATACCCATCAGCGCTGTACTCTAGTAAATTTCCTGTTCCTTTGTATCTTCTGCTTCAATTTGCAGAATGAACGTACCTTCTCGTATAGCAGGGAGAACATAATTCAATGTCTTACCCATTTGTGAGCTTCGATTCTTATGCATGGTAGGTACTTCTTCCTTATTCCCAATTTTCTCTGAAGGTGCTATTGCTGAAGGAATTTGCACAGTATTTCCTGCTATTGAAAATTGCAGTCGTCGATGAACTGCCTTCATATTTTCCTTCACTGCAGATTGTTCCCCTTCACACTCAATTTCCTCCATAATTGGTTGAAATTTTTGTGGTAGAAAACTTCCAAACGTCAATGGCATCAGTTTCTGTTGAATTCGGGTGTCCGGCGTAACTGTCGCTCCATCAATTTCCACACCTTGAGCTGGATTGTGAAAGACTGTGGGTGCACTTCCCATACCCGTTAGCCATCGCCCAGGTTGAGATTGAGCAGGTGTTTCCATGTTTCCTTCATTTTCCTTTGCTTCCGTCGGTGATGGAAGCTTCTTCCTTTGTCTAGCCATGGCAGAAGCGTACGTTAGCTAAACCTTGCTAAACATACGGAATGGCACATTCGAATGGCGCAGTGCGTGATCAACCTGGGTGAAATTTTTTCTTCCACTCATAAAACTTTAATTTTTTTTTATCAAGAAAATACTCAAAGCAAGAGATGAATTGAGCTATGTGCAACCAGAATATTTGAAGAACAAAAGCATGATCAGAAGCATATATTTGAAAATGGTTGGGGAGTTACCTAAAGTTACATGGAAAAACATCATGTGCGGCAATGAAGCAAGACCAAAAGCAGTATTTATAACATGGCTACAACAACAAGATAGGCTGCTAACTGCTACAAGACTGGAAAGCTGGGGAATTCAAGTTGAGAATAACTGTGTCATGTGTAAAGAGGTAGCTGAAACCATGGATCATCTGTTTGCAGAATGTGCAATTGGAAGACAGGTTTGTAAGAAGCTAATGCAGTAGCTGCAAATCACTTGGGTGGATATGAGCACATGGAACCAGGTGCAATAATGGATTGAGCAGAACACAAAAGGGAAAACTACGAACGCAAAGTTAGTGAAGCTGGTGTTTACAGAATATGTATATGCAATCTGGATAGAAAGGACAACAGGTTGTTTGCTCATAAGGAAGATTCATGTGAAACAATGGCTAGAGAGATTGCATATACTTGTCATGTTCGAGCCAATATTAATACTAGGATACTATTTCAAAAGTATAGATTTCCTAGGTAAGCAATAGATACTGATAGCAAAAGCATGTCGTGTTGAAGAGATTACTGAAAGAAGAGATGAGAGAAGCAGACTGTCATATAAAGTCTGACTGATTTGTACATAATACTTTTGGTTATTAATGAAAAATTTATAATTACCAAAAAAAAAACTTCATTTCCTTCAAATAAAATACATGTCCAAATATAAATTCAACTTTCAAAAATTATTTTAATACAACTTCAAAAATTATTTTTTCAAGTTTCTATCAAATCTATGTTCAAACGCCAGCTATGAATAATTCCAAAAGTATAACAAAAAACGGATTAAAATATTTTGTATTATTAAGAAATAAATTTGGACTCTCCC